TGTTTTCTAAAAGTTTAAACTGTTTTAACTTTGCATGGCTGTCTTCATCTCTTGTGTGAGATGCGAGTGCAGCAGTCGTATTTGTCCGTCTAGAAAATGCGCTGAATATGCGTTCTGTGTGAATGGCTTGGTTTCAGTTTTAACCTTTATCAAGATCTACTCCGCATTGAGCTACTATATTTCTCTAATATCTTGAATGAATAACGCAGCAGCGGCGCGTCTCGTGGGCTATACTAACAAAACATTAAACTACAACGTCACTTACATCATCATCACCGCATCTCGTGCTCCACTGATGACGCTCCCTGACGCACATCTAACATTCATTGTACTATTTTTGCCTTCAAATGCAAATGTTTATTTTAAATTTGACTAATATACATTTTTTTTTATTCACAATCTCCTCATCACAGGCAGGCACAGCACTCATGTTCGTGTTTGTGTGTGCTGTCTGCGTCACTCATAGCACGTGATTATGTCGTGCACTATATCGAAATTTTTTTATACCGTTATCGAAAAAGGTGTACCGTCGATAAATATCGATACCGTTTTATCACCCAGGCCTAGCTGCACAATATTTTTGTGGAAACAGTGCTACATTTTATTTTTCAGGATTCACAGATGAATAGAAAGTTCAAAAGAACGGCATTTATTTGAAATATAAATCTTTTGAACATTATAAATGTCTTTACTGTCACTTTTCAGGGCTCCAGACAAAAAAATCAACTAAGGGAGCCATTGGCTCCTATACGAAACAAAATTAGGTGCCAAATAAATTTTTTAGGTGCCACAGAATAAACTTCTTTATTTTTTAAAACTTTTAAAATTTCAGTCATACTGTCATGTGTTTATATATCATCTTTTCTTGTCCATTTAGATGTCCTGGGAAATGGGAACTAAATGTCATTTTGTAACATGCAATTTAGGAGGTGTTGAATTTTTTCTTTAGCTCCTTGCATTCTTTCTTATCATGTAGACAACACAGGTTAGGTAAAAATTTAAATATATGCAATATAGTGCATACATTTAGCTAAATGCTTTATCAGCATTTTTTTTTTATCTGAATGGACGCCAAGTGAGGAAAATATATTGTTACATGGTATTGTATAAGCTTTACACGTTTTCCGCAGTTTAAAACACTGAGTGATTACATGAGACAGTTTAGTAACTTGTACTGTAGGCTATCTTATAAAATAGCCTACTTTTTGATGTTCATTCATATTAATTTCGTACTATAGCAGTAAAGACAAAGATATGAGTTCACTTGCCGCTTGAACTGAGGCGCATCCCACATTAAAGAGCGCCAAAACGGAATTTATTGTTTGAATTTTATGATTTTGACAAAATTTTGAAAGCTGATACTTTGTTTATTAGAATGTAACAAAGCCCAAAGCTTATTGCATTATTGGACGGCAATTGCGCTACAAATAATATGAAGTTCACGCATTAACAGAACACAGCATAGACTAGGCTATAGAGCTTGATAACAAGAAGCTTAGCACGTCTCCATCATTTTCGATCTCTCTCATGCTGCTCAACTGAGATTTTTAATACGAGCAGTTTAATACGAGAACATAACAAAAGATGTGATTGCCAAACAATCAGGAAAAAAAAACATTACATGCAAATGTTTAAGTCATAACATGTGCATTTATATAGTTGCCAGTCGCGACCACAGCAAAAACGTCACTCGCAATTTAATGTTTTTAGTCCAAGGCTGGAGCCCTGCTTTTTAACAATTTCATGCGTCTTGGATGAATATAAGTATTAATTTATTTTCTTTGTTTCAACTATTTTCAGCATTGATAATAATCAGAAATGTTTCTTATTGACATAGAACACAGCTATGTTAAATCGCTATTAATATTTCACAATATTAATGTTTCACTGTATTTTTGATTAAATAAATGCAAGCAAGAGTAATGTCTTTCAAAAACATAAAATCTTGCGAGTGGTGTATATAAACATTTGATATTAATGTGTAGCAAAAAATAACTACACTATATAATTAATACAAATAATAACTGTAGTGTTCCTGTTATATGAATGTGTGACTGTTAATGGCAGCTTTCAGAGAAGTATGGAGTTCATATCTGTGGGGAAGGAGGCGAGTATGAGACCTTCACCGTTGACTGCCCGCTCTTCAAGAAGAAGATCGTCATGTAAGTGACAAACACAACACCAGCGTGAGCTGATATATGTGTGTGTGAGCAGAAAGAATGGTTGTGGAGGAGAAGCGCCGAAGTGTCGTTCCACGTCGTGCTTTGTGTTTCAGTGACTCGATGGAGACGGTCATCCACTCGGCCGATGCCTTCGACACTTACAGGTATCTCATAATTTGAAATGACTTTTTTCAACCTCATTAACATTTCATAGTTGAGATAGTGAGTTAATATCTCAAAGTATCTCATTATTGTGACTCTGTATCTCATAATTTAGTATCTTATAATTTAGAATTTTCTTCCTGTTGTTAGAATAATTGTTTTGTACACTGTAATGTCCATAGTGACATGATCATCATATTCATTTATTTTGTGGAGTATCTGCCTGCAGGTTGACTGATCAAGCGTGTGAGAGTCGGTGTGTTTTCAGGGGTGTTTGTGTGTGATTTATTCTCCTGCAGGGCTCCGGAGGGCGGCCTCTGCCTCTCAGTAGATGTCCTTGCCAGAACGCCATTGACAGCATGACAGAAGAGCTGGAATATGCTGATAAAACTCCAGACGTCCAGGGAGGATGTCCATCAAACGCTGAACGCAGTTGTCAGTCGGAGCCGGGTGAGATGTGTGTGTGTGTGTGTGTGTGTGTGAGTGTGTTCTGGCGTTAAGCACATCATATTGTCTGCTTGCAGCATAACTGTTACTTCATTGATATTCTTTCAGAATTGTATTGGTTCATCGAACACCAAAACAAAAGAAGCATGGTACTACTATAGTTTTGTTGAGGACAATATCATATTTAAGGCTGGAGACGCTGATCCTCAGACCAGTGAATAGACGCACCATAGAGCTGCAGTGTTTTACCAGTGGTTCATGCACTGACCATATCATTGTGCATCTTTAACAAAATAAAAAGACAGACCAAAAGCACTCACTGATTTCATCACGCTTCCAGTCGGCTCTGTTGGGAACGGCTCTGGGTAATACCGTGTTTTTGGGCATGCACCATGTGTTTTGGATATTGCCATAGTTAATTCCATGGTGTTTATATGTTATATAGTATATTTCTGTATTATTTTAATAATTCCGTACCATGATATAGTCCAGGCCAGTGGTCCTTTTTAAATCCAGGGCCCACACTGTCACAACAGTGACGGCTCTGGTTCATCTGCTGTAATCACAATTGACTAAAACTAGTTTTTTTTGACAATTTACAAAAACTGTCCATAAGTAACATTAGCAGTAGATAATTGTTTAATAATTTATTATTATTATTATTAAATGGTAAAAAATGGTAAAAAAATTAAATAACAATTGTCAGGATTCCAAATATTTCAAGGGCTGAATGTTTTTAGGGATCTCACTCTTATTAAGCAGTAAATTTACTTGACTATTCAAGTCATTCCTGATAAAGTTTTTTTTATTGAGCATCATTGAGATACTATTATAGTTTTATTAATATTTTGAATTAGTTTTTATTTTTATAATCTCTGTTTTTATTGTATTTTTAATTTGAAAGTTTTTGTAATTTTATTGTGTTATATATATATATATATATATATATAAGAAACTGTCCTGATATACTGGATAAGATTTTTATTTTTTTTTACTCACAATTTAGACCTGATTATAAATATTTTAGACCTTGAAAGTTTAAATTAAAACTGTATATTTATTATAAAAATGCCAGTGGAGTAATAATATTTTATTAATTTCCATGAATTTTAGAAAGTCTAGAAATCACAGTTTTAAAATTAATCTCCCTGGTATATCAGTTGTTGATAGCGTGAATCAAAATAGCAAATATCTTGATTGTTTTGGATTATTTTAGTGCTTGTTTGTCTTATTTTAATTGATGTTAAGCCACATTCAGGTTCAAGTGCCTAAGTCACAATGGATGACTAACGAGTCAGTTAAGTGTTTTTAGCAGTGGTGCTGTAATTGCTGAGCTGGCATAGACACTTTCACAGTAAAGCTCATTGCACACTGAGTCCGAAATTTTCGCACGTTAAAAATAAATACGACCTCACGTTGTGTCAATCGTGTTTACACGCTGCCTGCGTTTTAGCAAGCATTCTGATAGGAAAGGATGACGAATATAGAGTCAGTGTAAAAGGATTGCGTGTGTGTGTGTGTGTTAAAGGTTGTCTGCCGTCACACTCGTCCAGGAGTTCTTCGGGTTACCAGTGGATATCCGGTCTAACAGCGCTTCAGTCCGAACACCCAGACGTCCAGAGCCAAACCCGGCACGTCTTCACACTCCTGCAAAGTAGGAAAATTGCTCTCTTTTCTCTCTTTCTGTGAGATCACAGCATATACGCGTGCGTTCGGTGTCGTCTCAGATGCATTGTGCTGTTTTTACCCTGAGAAGAAATAATGAAGAACGTCGATCGCTGCTTCTAGCCGCTCGTGTGCAGTTCAGCCCATCAAACGCTTACGGCAAACAGGCCTTTGTTCCAAACACGCTTTCATTTTCCCTCTTGTTGTGCTGGCAAAACGCACTTTTAAGAGGTACGGCGGGGCTCTTTATTCAGCGACCGCTCTTTTCTTCACACGGCTCGTTTGGAGGGACTCTGTCCATCACGGCGAGGACAGACACTTCAAATTAAAGCCGGAGAACGAAAGGCTGTTTCTATCGCCCGCAGAACTTTTAAAGAGCGGCCTGTAAGAGCAAAGAGAAAAATCTTAAGCCAGAGCGGCTGGAGATGAAAAGCATATTTAATGTTTTTCATCTTACTTCGCCAAACAGCCTTCACAGCGCTGAGACAATATTAAACAAGTTAATATTTAATGAGTGGCTTTCTTGTGCGCTGAAACGCAAACGCCTGCGAAGGAAAAACAAACTTGACGCCGTGTGAAATTCTAATGGGGTGCAGCGCTGCTGCGGTTCCTCCATTGTGCGTGTTTTTAACAGACTGTGTTCATGTCGTGCGTTTATGCTGGTTTGAGCCTGAGGGGAGAGTGGAGGATCCTTAGAAGTTCAGCCGCAAACTTTTCTAATGAGATATGAGCAGCTCTTTGTTTAATTGACCGGTGTGTGTGTGTGTGTGTGTGCATGTGTGTGTGTGTGTGTGTTGGCAGGGCAGCTGCAGGAGAAAGGCCTGCTGATGAAGCACATGCTCCTGGTTCATCTCTACGTGAGCGACATGGAGAACTTCAGTCAGATCAACTCTGTCTACTGCACCTACTTCACTCACAATCCTCCAGCCAGGTAAACGACGCCTCGGACCGTCCTTTAAACAGGGAATTCACTAGGGCTGTGTATCACCAGCAGAGTCATGATATGATACATATCACGGTACAGAGGCCACGATACGATACATATCACGATACAGGACTGCACTGAATTTCACCTCAGCAGAATTTAGTAAAACAGCTGTTTATTAAACACTGCTTACTATAAAGGTTATCATTGCACAAATTAACACACTTTCTACGTTTAAAAAAATAAAAATTAGAAGAGTTCTAAACTATTGCGCTGTCTTCACTGTATCTCACGCACACACACGCTCAGTCACTCAGTAATACAATAAGCTTTTAATACAGTAACTCAATGTTCCTTCGTTACTAGTTCTAAAGTGACATTTCTGAATTAGTAACGGATCTTGAGCTGAGCTGTTAAACTGCCAACTTTAGATTAGAATCGTTGGCGGAAGGAAGTAGTTCTGCACAAAAGAGGGCTTTTAAAGACACTCCGTTGTTATTTTTTATGTATTTACACACTCATGCTGTCGAACTGTTGTATAAACGCAATATTACACTCGGAGATGTGAGATATGGCTGTATATCGGCACACTGTGATTACCTACGGCCGAATCACAGCCGTGCCGATATACATGTATATAAACCTTGCTACGTGTACTGCATTAGGCTAACTGAGCACTTGCATGACAATTCTCGGTAATTATCAAAATTACCAAAACTTTAAAATAAAAAATAAAACATGTTTTTGCCATTTTTATTAGTTATTGTTCTTGATATATCTATATTTTTTATGAATTTTTTTTTTCAGTTTTAATTTGTTATTTTAGTACATCAAGTTTAACTAAATTAAAATGAGAAATTTTAATAAAATAAGTCAAAAATAAAATATTTTTTAAATATTTTATTTAATTTCACTTAACATTTATTTCAAGTAACTTGGTTTTGATTGCTTCTATTGTCATCATTTGTAAGTCGCTTTGGATGAAAGCGTCTGCTAGATGACGAAATGTAAAAACAAATCTGGTTGTGAACCGATCAGCAGCTGTGTTATTGTGTGATGCAGGGTCTGTGTCCAGGTGTGGCTCCCGGTCTCTCAGCAGCTGCGGATGGACGTTCTGCTTCACGACGGGACGGTGGTCTGCAAGGAGGACGCTTTTCCTCAGAGAGACACGCTTCACGTCCAGAGTCTGTCCCACTGGGCCCCGGCCAACATCGGGCCCTACAGTCAAGCCGTGCAGGTACAGTGAGCGCTCCTTCATTTGCAGTGTTGGGGGTAATACATTACAAGTATTTTTTTTACTTAAAGAGACTTTCTTTTAAATAACTGGTAAAATAATGCATTACTTTTTAATTTAGAAGGAAATATCTGAGTCACTTTTTCAAAATAAGTAACGCCAGTTACTTTGTTTCCATGTGTTGACTGAAAACTCTGGTGTTGCCATGGTGACAGAAATCAGGAGTAAGTGCAGAGCGTTGTGTGTGAACATGATCTTACTGTAGTTCTAGACTCAATATCAACATGTATCTCATCTGTACAAAAACAGATTCAGTGTTCCTCAAAATGAATAAAAACAGTCAAATTCAAACTCGGAATGTTATACAAACCTGCAAAAATTAACTATGTTAAATAAGACAAATATAATTTATGTATTTAATCCCATTTTATTAACCAATTGTGTATATATATATATATATATATATATAACTTATTTTTTATTCTGAAGTATCTTTTTTAGATGCTTATGTTGTTCTTTACTGAATTTAACTTTAATTAAAAATTAAAATTAAATTGCAATGGCCAAACCTTTAAGTGTGCAACTGTTACCGCAAGAAACATTATCTCCTTAAAATGTTTTTCTTTAATTTACAGTGAAAGTTAAGTTTGGTCTAGCTTGGCCAGACTGAGTTAGGGTTATGGTTAACATTCAACCTAGGTTTTCAAAAATGAATTTACTTAATAATAATTCTCATTTAAATTCTATTGCTAGAAAAAAAAATTTAAACTGTGTATTAAACTCATTTGAAAAGACGTAATCTAAATCAAATGTAAATTTATTTAATACAAATTATTTTTTTCAACTCATGAAAATATTTTAATGTATGTAATATTGAATTTTAATGTAATTTTCTGAAGGTTCAGCCGCTCACAGAACAAAACACTGTTTTCAGACCCTCTTTGTGAAATGTGTGTGAAACATTAAACGCATTTCATTATCAGGGAGTGTTCTTCGTCTAATTGCCAGAGCGTGTTGATTCTGTTGTGTAATGTGAAGGATCCTTATCAGATTTGATTTACCAAATTCGTTAACCTTTGCGTTCGCGTAGCTTCAGGCCCTGAGCGCATCGTTTAGAAGAAATTAAGCGCTCGCTGTGTTTTCTGTTTCCTCAGCTTCACTCTTGATTAGCTCGCGCGGCGAGGTCACGTTTAGCATAATAGTCCCGTGTCCTTGATGAGGAATTCTGGGCGTGTGACAGATTCTGCTCTGCCTTCAGACGCGTCTCGTCAGATCCTGTGATCCTCTGCTGTTATTCTGATGTTTATGCAAATCGCAATTCATCATTAAGATTGTAGCGTAACACATTTACGTCCAGCAGACGGCTAAACGTATTTTATTGGAATGTCCCGCTTGTAGAAAACTCTTTTATGAAGTGAACTCACTTAAAGAGTTATTTAGTATCATTTTGCCCGAAAAAGGTTTAGAATTTTTATCATATGTGACCCTGCAGCACAAAAGCAGTGTTAAGTCGCTGGGGTATATTTGTAGCAATAGCCAACAATACATTGTATGGGTCAGAATTATAGATTTTTCTTTTATGCCAAAAATCATTAGGATATTAAGTAAAGATCATGTTCCATGAAGATATTTTGTAAATCTCCTACCGTAAATATATCAAAACGTAATGAGCGACTGAGCGGAGCGCACACGCATAGAGCGGGATAATACGCAGAGCGTCACACCACGTGAAAGTGAAACCTGAGCGGTGAACTAATTTTTGGCAGCCGAAATTTCGGTGCATCTCTAATTATTGGCGACATCAGAAATGGATATTATATAATAGATGCTTTTTTGAACATTTTAGCAATTTAAAAATATTAAAAAATGATTTTTTTTACACGACACCCCTGCTCTCGACAGACGGCACCCCGGTTGGGAAACACTGTCCTATCCTAACAAACCATACATCAATGGAAAACTTATTTATTCAGCTTTCAGATGATGCATAAATCTCAATTACGAAAAATTGACCCTTATGACTGGTTTTGTGCTCCAGGGTCACATATGCTAGTGTAAGATATATAACTTGTGTTTGTTTGTTTGCCGGTTTGTATTTTTTGAGTGGTTTTTGCCATGAAAATAGCCTAAGATGCTGACATGGCATCAAGTAAAATATCCAGCAGATGTCTGAGGCTGCCAGATCTAATGAGCTGTGATCGAATGATATTTGACGTCACATTAGGATGAATATTTTACACCTTGCTAATATCGCGAGTCTTCCGGCGCAAGCTCTCAAACACTTTTCCAAGAGAAGGGGGGGGTGGGGGTCAATTTTCTCTCATAACAGACGATTAAGCTCGTGTGTTGGCAGATGGTTGGAATTGACCCTTCATTAACCAAAGTCATCGTTAACAGCACGTCGCCACACACCTTGGTGATTTAATGTTTCCCGTTCCCTAAAATCCCTTCAGGAGCGCCAGCCATCGTAATGGAGTCCGTAAGCTCACAGAAGAGCTGTGTTAAATCACGATCCACACGCTTCCCTGAGACCTGGCAACCGCTTTAATAATCCAATTTAGCATCCGCCTGCATCATGCAGTCCTGTTAGTCCCAGTTTTGGGAATACACCCACTCCGTCGGGAGGGTCGCGCGGCCCCGCTATTGGATTTGCATTGGGAAAAATCAGAATCCGACGCCCACAATTAGTGTCTAAGAGAGCCTCTGCTGCGGGAACATTGCAGTAATCTTCTTAAAGCGGGCGAAACGATTAAAACAATGAGGATGCTTTCATTTCTGATTCATACTCTATCGGTCAAAAGTTTGGAATCGTTGAAGTCTCTTCTGCTCACTGAGGCTGCATTTATTTGATCAAAAATACAGTAAAAATAGTGCAATATTATTAGTTTCAAATAGCTGTTTTAGAATAGCTTATCATTTTTTTCTTTATATAGATATATTTATATTCATTTTTAATTCAGTTTTAATTTGAGTTATTTTAGCACATCAAGTTAAACTAAATTAAAATGAGATTTTTTAAATATTTTATATTTTTTAACATTTATATTTATTTCAAGTAAGTTTTTTACGGTTTTAGTTTTACTTCACTATATAAACCCTGCCAAGAAGACAATTTAGAGTTAAAGATACATATTAAGTATTGAATAAATATGAAAAAATATATATATATTCTTAACATAATCTTAATTTATTTATTTATCTGAAGTGTCTTTTTAGATCCATATACTGTTCTTCATTGCATTTAATTATTCTGTTAAACTGTAATGTATTTCTGTGATGCGCAGCTGTATTTTCAGCATTCACTATATAAACCCTGCCAAGAAGACACTTTAGAGTTAAAGATACATATTAAGTATTGAATAAATATGAAAAAAATTAATAAATATTCTTAACATAATCTTAATTTATTTATTTATCTGAAGTGTCTTTTTAGATGCATATACTGTTCTTCATTGCATTTAATTATTCTGTTAAACTGTAATGTATTTCTGTGATGCGCAGCTGTATTTTCAGCATCATTACTCCAGTCTTCAGTGTCACATGATCTTCAGAAATCATTCTAATATGCTGATTTGCTGCTCAAGAAACATTTCTGATTATTATCAATGTTGAAAACAGTTGTGCTGCACAATATTTTTGTGGAAATTGTTCAAAAGTTTGGTTAAATTAGAAAAAAAAAAAAATTATTCATCAAGGATGCATTAAATTGATGAAAAGTGACAGTAAAGACATTTATAAAGTGACAAAAGATTTCTATTTCAAGTAAATGCTGTTCTTTTGAACTTTCTATTCATCTGTGAATCCTGAAAAATAAAATGCATCACGGTTTCCACAAAAATATTGTGCAGCACAACTGTTTCCAACATTGATAATAATCA